ATATATTCAAGTATCATGCGACAATCATTTCGGTTAAGAAACGATAAATGATATATATTCACAATAAAATTGGAGCACGGCAATTGTTATGTAATTGTGTGGTTGATTCGATTTGATTCGATCCCATCCCATCCGATCAGATCAATTTATTGAGAATTACACACTGTTGATGACGGTTATTGATTCTATAAGATCAAACCGTCGATCCACTTCAAACGTCGTTTCCAGTCGAACGAACGGATTACTTCAGTCATCCACCCACCCCACTCCCTTCCTCTCAGACTATTTGTTTCGTTTTTCACCGAAAAAATCAACAAATTATTGTTGAATCATTCAGTAAGAAAGATATTTATTCATTTGCTGCGCTGATTACATAAGGAAAATGAATTTTGTTTCATTTTGATTGGATGAAATCTTTCATTTGTTCTTTCATTTTCCATTGGACGAAATGATTTTAAGTTTAAATGCTATTAAACTTGATCAATTGCGATTAAGAAATAAAACTTCAAAGGTTTTTCTAACATCCGAATAGTAGTTCGACTAATTCCAATTTGACAATCGACGTGTAACACTAGTCTCTTACACGTCGATCCGCTGACAGATGAATAAGATGATACTAGAGGAAGCATTCGAACGAAACACTTTAAAAGAAAGTTTTAATTGAGGGCGATTGTTATAAAATGCGATTGTTTCTTATAGGGTAACGCGGCTAACGAGTATGTTTTTGCAACGTATCCTGGTGGTCATATTCACGATCATAATTATCCAATGTTTCACTCTGCAAACCAACTCGAATGACTTGAGAAGAAGACGAAGCGAAACAGATGAGACACCATTCATCTCTCAACCAGACCTAACTGCTGCTGCGGCTATCGCACACGATCATCCCAAATCCGAAAACGAACCTACGCCTGAGCCTGAACCACTATTAGCAACTGAGTTATCAAGAGCAGCAACAACCGTGGAATCAGCACTCAGGTCGTCTTTCTCTTATTCTCCTCCTGAATCGACAATTTCTCAGCCTTCTGAATCCGCGACACCATCACTTCCACTTGCAATTCAGCCTGAGCCAACAAGACCCCAGCTCGAATCTGACCCTGCTTCTTCTCCTTCAGTCGCAATTTCAGCCCCTGCTTATGCTGCCGATTCATCTAAAATGTTGTCTGATGATGCTTTGGAGCAGATTAGTGCCGAAGATTATGGTGATATTACTGAGTCGGTAAGTATTCGTTGTCATTAAATTATATGACTTAAATGACGACAATCATTGTTAGAGAATAGATCGTATGATTACTTGTACGTATGTAACAACAATAACAGTAAATAGCACTGTTAGCAATAAAAGCAGCACGTTAATGGCAAGAAGTAGCTTCGTTAATCGTTGGAAAAATTCGCTGAAAAAATATTTCCGTTTCGTTGGAAATAATCCGCTAATAGCACCATCGACGAAAAAGTAACACAATCTTTTCGCTAATCGGCAAAAATAGTAATTTTCGCTAAAACACTGGGCAGCAAAATTAGTGCATTAGTGGATGAATATGTACGGAAATGATGTGTGGTTAAGGATAAACCGGATGAAGTTGATAACGATGTGATTCAACAATTGGTTGATCGTTTCTTGAATACGGGTAATACGGAGGATGAAAAAGAAACGAAAGTGAATAAAGCTGCGCAATCATTAGTGAATTCAAGCGAATATTGGCATCTATCCGACATTCAGGTGTACTTTTGAGATTTTTCAATGATTATAGTTATCATGAATTGAGTTATTATCAACTGTTTTTTGCAGTTGATATGCGTAATTTACGGTGTAACTTCATGAGAGTCTCCTATCCAGAAAAAATGCGGAAATAAATGAATAAATAAATAGTTTTGATCACATGCATACTTCACACTGTGCATAGGTTTCAATGTGTCTGTTTCGGAAATTTCCAGCTCCGTGATAAACACTGTCCTTTTGGCTAAGAGATAGAGACACCGGAAGAGGTTGAATTAGAGGTAGCAAACAAATCACTCACACTATGGCTATGCGGCCGTAGGCAATTATGATGGCCTGTTCTTTTCATTGTGAATAGAATAATTTGACAACACTATTATTAAGTGAGTGAATAAACTCGTTACCATCATGCAGTCTTTGTTATTTTTCAAACTATCCAAAAGTACAGTGTTTTTCACACAGCGGGAACATTTAAGTAATGAGTTTGATAGAAAAAACATCAAAATTATACGATACTGATTGATAGTGTCTTGTTGTCCTAATATAGGAAACTGAATAATTTAATATTTCTCCCATTTACAAAAATATAAGATCGTTAATAAACCGTGCAAATAACTCATTTTAATTTAATATTTAGCTTTCATAAAACTCGTCGGATATTAATAACCATTATGCCTATTCATGTTGTCTTTCTGCCATATTATCTAACGTTGATTACGTTTAATTGTATAGTGTGAGAGGTGTAGATGAAACAATGATGATGAGAAAAGTGAGGAGATATCCAGGCGAGGAGAAGCAATGATGTTAGATTGTAGAACTCAGTAAAATTTCTGAAGCAAAGCAATCGAACCCATGAGCAGTTTGAACGTATATGCCGAATTGACTGTTTGAAGTAAGTGTTGATCAAGATCAATGACTTTAGCTAATGAGGTCATATTTTCACGTAAAAAGTTATCATATGATATATGTGATTGAATATTGAATGCAATACCAAATATTATTCAGCCGGAGCATTCTATAAAAGATCCTGCGTTGGCAAAAAAATGGATGGATGGTTATTCGGTAGAAGCACAAAAAGTTTTGTATCAAGTGACAACGGCCGGATGGAGTTATGTAACGTCTGTATCGCATCTTACGAAACAATTATTTGATGAAGCCGATCAGGTGAGATGAACAGCGTACATAGTTCGTAATGATTAGCTGAGAGGAGGAGAAGACATCATTGTGAATTGAACATGTTGATTTGAGGTTGAAAAGAAATTGTCGTTTTTTGAGGTGCTATCTGAATTTGTGAAAGCAACTTCCAAACAAGCGAAACAGTTTGATTTGAGTGTGATCGAAGATCCAATCCTACGAAAACAGTTCGAAATCTTATCAATTGATGGAGTTAATGCACTGGACGATGCATCATTACAGGAATATAGTGACATTCAAGCAGCGGTCAGTTTTCCTTTTTTCTCACTTATTCACTTCTGCTTGAAGGCTGGAAGCTGCGAGCCTCGTGTGAGTTTGAATACGCGAGGAAGATAACTCAAGTGAATTTTGCAGGGTCTCATTAGCGTTTTCTCATTCAGTTACTTATCATTCACAGTGGCGTCATCAAAGAGCAATGAATTTATTGTGTGATGCTAATCTCATTCTCTATTTTTGTTTAGATCAACAAGAAGATCACCGATGCAGCCATCTGCGAATTGGATCATTCTCCACCATGCGTACTAAAGTAAGTCGGGACAACATTGAAGATTTCAGATTTCATGCGCACTTTGTAACGTTCTGTTGCAATATCGCACGGATTCGTTGAAATGGAACAGTTTCGTACACCGAAATATCACATTGGAAAGATTTTCTCTGAGTTTCTCAAGAAATCTTCAAAATATTACGATATATTGACACATGTTTTCATATATATCATACTACTGGATAGATACTCTAAAGAAATGAAATGCGCATTAATTAAAGTTCCATTATTTCTTGATGAGATCATAACGTAATTTATTATATATTATATGCCGAAAAGTTTCATTCAGTATGTTATGACCACTAATGTTGATATTTTGATGAATTCAAATGATCTTCTTCAAATATTTGTTGTTATTCACTTTAATGAAGAATGTCATCCTTGACTCAGGCACGCCGATTTACCGTCCATATTAGCACGTGAGAAGAACGCAAAAAATGCGAAGCATATTTGGTTGATGTGGCGTGCTACAATTTCCCCACAGCTCGCACCCTCATATGAACGTTTAATGGAACTCACGAATCAGGGTTATTGATATTGCTTTTTTTATTGCTGTTGTCTATTATTATTGTTGATCTTAATTAGAAATCAATTTCAAAGATTGTCATTGCCATTAATTATTGTTTGTATTTGAGGAGCCACATTGAATGGATTCAGTAACGGAGGTGCAATGTGGCGTAGCCCATATGATTTGTCGATCGAGAGTGGTCGACCGAAACTGAACATGCTTGACGAAATGAATCGCCTGTTCGATCAAATCTTACCATTTTATAAGCAGGTTCTTGTTTGTTATTATTGTTGTTGTCCACTGTTAATTAGCAGTGTTGTTGTTAATTTTTTGTTTTCAGCTACATGCTTATGTGAGACGTCAACTAACCGGTGTTTTTGGTATTGAAAATACCGTAGAGCTGAGCAAGGATGGACCTATTCCAGCACATTTATTAAGTTGGTTTAGTTTTTGTTTTTTTTTGTGAACGCTAAGTTAGTGTTCATGTACCTCGCTGATAAAGAATTAAATTGTTGATTGAAAGATTGCTTCTCATTGAGTACATTCGACTAGCAATTGTACTAATTACAATTACGCAACTAGCAATTACAATTTTACGAGTATACGTATGCTTTAATCTCCTGTTTTGAGTCAGCATCATTACTATCGTTCTTCAATATACACTTTGGTTTGTTTGCGCACACGGCTAACGACATTGATGCAGAAACAAATCCACGAATTTACTGATTTAGTGGTCACAAAGGTGTAGGAGTTATTCTGTCGTGCTGCTCGAGAATATATATGTACGCATATTGTGTGTTAAGAAATTTCGTTTTTCACTTAATAGAATCGTTGATTGGTGATGATTGGACTGCGCTTTATTATGACACGAGACCATTCGAAAGTGACGATACGCGTTCGGAAGAAATTAACGCAAATCTGCATCGACTAAACTACACGTCAAAAGCCATGTTCATTCAGGTTGTCCGTTTTTTAGTTTTTGATTGGTTATCGATATCTACGTCATATCGAGTCTCCTGGTGGACTTTTGTTACATCATTTTTAATCTGCATCAGACATCCATGTGAAAAGAAGTAAGTGTGAAGAGTAAGTAGAAGCACGAACTCAAACACACTTGCACACATAACCTAATTTTTTGGAAATTGTTCCTTTGCGAAGGGGGAGAGGTGCAAGATATAAGGGAACATTTATTCTTTACACTCACAATCAGTAACAGCGGTTTCAGTTGGCGATGGATTGTTAGAGCGATTGATTTATTCATTAATTCTTTTCATTTCTTTTACATCTGAAAATGAAAGGAATTTTTGAAGTTTTGGTTTTTTCCCGGGAGATGTTCAGAGATAATGTGCGAGATGAAGTGCGGTTCTTTGACTCTCTTCTTATAATATGTGTGTCAATGAGGATGAATCGATTCCAAAAAATGGAAGAGAGAAATATTCATGGGTTCGATATTTTTAATGAGTTGTATTACGGTTGTATGCGATCCACATCCTATGAGAGTATTCATGCATGGTAGTATTCAGTCGTATTTCAGGCGTATAAATATTTCAAACAGTTAGGATTCGGTAAACTCCCGCATACTCTGTGGACAAAATCGGTATTTTCAAGAACATGGAGTAAAGACATGGTGTGCAATCCGGCAGTTGCGTATGATATGCGAGATGTAAACGCAAACGATTACAGGTCTGTTTATCGCACTCTATCAGCATGTTTACCTATTAAGATTAATGGGCCAAGAAAGGGTTCGCACTTGAAAATTCCAGCACAAGAATAAGTTTTTTTAGATGTCATAGCTGACTGAATATAAGCCTAATCTAGGAATGAATCGTGACCGATTTCATGACAAGACAAGTAAGAGGTAATCGATATGTTTTAATAAGCTAGTCATGTTTGTTGAATGAAGACGAATAGAATGACACAAGTCTGGTAACAGTAAGCTTACAGGATTAAAGCATGCGTACAGCCGAATGAGAATGATTTTAAACGAGCACATAAACTAATGGCACATCTGTACTATGAATACTTGTATCGAGAACAGCCTTTCCCATTACGTGAAGCAGCCAATCCGAGTACTTTAATGGCACTAATCAATGCATTTGCAAATTTAGCCACAAATATTGACTATCTTAAATCATTGGTGAGTGTTTTTTCTTTTTTATGGGCGTTGAATCATTTCGTTTGATCGTTCATTTTCTTGCACATGTCAGACATTCTTGGCATGTTACTATTACAAAGTGATTGTGTTGGAATATACAATGAAAAGTAGAAAATTTGATGGTTCGACAAGTATCGATAGCATACCACTTTGATAATAATGATTGTCTCTGATGGTGACGATCGTCTTTGGATGAATGGCATTCCATTATATGATAGGCCATGCTGTGCTATTTGGATTTTGTAGTCTATGGACCGCCTCTATGGTTTCTTCTTTTCTCATGTGAGGAACATGAAGTAGATATTATTGTAAGTGCATGAATATGATCACTATTAGCTGGGATCGATTTTGAGTGATGAGGATTCCCGTTCATGATGAAAGTATTGGGAGCGTGTTCGCATATGATTAGATATTTTTCACCATTCAGAAACTTCTCCCAACTGGGGCTAGCAATGGACATGCGGCTCAAGTGAATATGCTCTATTTGGAAGCGTTGGAACAGTTCGTGAAACTACCCTACGATCTAGTGGTTGATGTTTGGCGATTCAATATATTTGACGGAAAAACAACGAAAGAGACTTGGAACGATGACTGGTGGAAGTTGAGGTGGTTATTTTGATTGACTCATTCAATTGATTCCATTCCATTGATCAATTAGATTATTCATGTAACTTTTCTTTTTGGCTGTCATTCAGAGTTATCGAATCCTCTTATAACATAAAGCTAGTGTTAATTTCTTGCATTGTTGTCACATTTTTTCAGAGAACATTATCAAGGTTTGAAAGGCCCTTCTCATCAAGCCACTGATTTTGATGCAATCGTTTCACCTGCAATCTCCCAGAAACACTCACCAGCTATCAGACATTTCGTCTCGTATATAATGCAGTTCCAATTCATGAAAGCACTGTGCAACAATAAAACCACTAATTTGGTCAGTGTTCGGTTTGTTTTCGTTTGGTTACATGTGATCGCAATAGTGAAAATAATAATAATGATATTAACAAAAGTACGTAGTTGAGTGAACTTCTGTAAAGATTTAACCTAATGAATATCTCAAAATCATTGGACAGAATGAGGGATGTCGACTACAAAAATCCGCAGTTGCAAATGTAAAGAGAGTCATGATGGCTGGATCGTCGATTAATTGGATGGATGCGCTCAAAATGATAACAGGTTTGTATCGTTCGCATTTTGCTGAACTTTTGAGGGTGATTCTCACAAATGGATTTTGCTCTCTTCAGTTGATTTTATAAGGATTATGCTAAAGGATCTGTTGCATTACCCTCAAGGTAGACTTTGCATTATAGTATGCGTTTTGGTAATTCAAAAGGACTTTAGTGCGACAGTATGAGGCAGCAGTTCGAGTGATAATAGAAATATGATTGATGAGAAGAGGAAAAGGGAGAAAAACTATTGTAATTATGATGAGTAAAGATTGCAACACCTCTGAATGAGTGATCAGGTGTAGGATTTTATGAAAACGGTTAATTTTCGTTATTTATGTGGAAAGAAGGAATCAAGAATGCACTGGTACTTTTAATATTGGTGTTGCTGATAAGAGATTTCGGAAATGTAGGTGCTAGTTGAATTAATGAATGAGTGCATTCACAAACTGCTTCGCGATTTGCAGGTTCAGAGCAGTTGGATGCGAAACCTTTATTAGAATATTATGAGCCGCTGATCAGTTGGTTGGGGAACGCGAACGAGCATGATCAAGTGGTAGTTGGTTGGGATGGTGTCGGCACACCTTTCTCTGAGTATGATCTAATCTCGATTCGATTCATTTTACCATGGCTGTTTTTAAAGTAGTGAAGCTATCACAGTTCTTCGTTGTTCCGAGAAATTTGTCAAAATGTTTGATTGACGCAACAGTTATGCAGCAAAGTTGGTGTGCTGTCGTGCTACTCATTTGATCATATCACTATAAACTCAATATAACTAAATTTATCGCAGACCATTTTTATATAGAAATGAAATTAATAGAATTTATATAGAAATTTACATGCATATATAGGTTTGATGATTAGTTGGACGATGCAACGTCGATATGATGTGTGCACGTTGTCCTGAATGAATGAAATGAAACTTGTGAAGGAACGCGCAAAAATGAAAATTCTAAAAAAAGACCCAAAGATTTTATTTTTCAGATCGGAAGTTCCTGTTGCACGAACGAACACTTCGAACGCGGATCTGCATCAAGTGTTGAGTGAAGATCAAGTTGCTTTTCCAGGTGCAATCATATTGTTTCTCTTCTTGGCCTACCAATATGTGATGTAATTTTGACTGATTCTCTACGTTCTGCCGCAAAGTTTCGTGGAATTTGTTTAAGTAATATCAACAGCAATATATGATCATCTTCTCGTTACTTTTCTGTTCATCATTTGAAACTTATGCAATATGAATGCAGAAATGTGCAAGACCCCATATCGATAAAATTAAGGTGGTGATTGCTCGAAAGGTCAAGAATGTCTGTTAGATTCGACGTGTAAGAACGGTCTATGCGAGTGTAACGAAGGCCTTTTCACGCTCAAAATCGCGAACACGTACAACTGCGTTCCGGGCAATCCAGCCGACGCAGGTTTGTCACTCGATCATAAAGATTTTTTTTTCTTATTTTCATGGTTAAATTCATTACAAGAATGACTTACCCGCCATGTGAAAACAAATAATGCCAATAAGACAGCAAATAATCGACTCTATTTATGATAGGATTCGGAGGAGGACACGGTGGTTTAGTGATAGGTCTTTATCCGGAGGAAGGTGACGGCGACAAAATGACAACTCCGGAACCTAGCGCGGAGCCAGAACCAACGGCTTCGGCGAAACCGGTACAGGCGTCAAATCCAAAATCAAAATCAGCGGTCGGCACATGTTTCAGTAGCACTCTAATCGGTGTCTGTTTAACAGCATTCGTCTACGTGAGATTATTAACGAGGCACGCATAATAACACTGAACTGTCGAATGAACGTTTCAAAATGAAGCGAAACGAGATTGTATATGTATATTATACGAGATAAATTCATTCTTTCAAGCTGGTTACGTTCAAACTGAATACTGGATGTTGAACTCATCAATCGATGTGAATTGAATTGATGTTTTCCCAATGAATTGAACAAAGACCTAATACAGCATATATTGTATCAATATTTGTATAAGAGTAAATTGTGCATGATGATTGCGCATGTTTGAGCATGGTTGTGTGTGGCCATTGACTAGTATTGAATACTGAGAGTGCTAATTGAATCGTTTTGTTTTGATTTAATTTATTTGATGTGATTTCATTTGATTGCATAAAACAATTTGATATATTTATAAATATATGTCATAAGGTGATAGTGATAACGATGGTGATAGCGACAACATAAATGATATATTCAAACTGACGCAGTAAAATTCAATGCTTCAAACAAATATTAGTAAGCAATGATAATAATGGTGGTGATGATAATAACACGAGCTTGGCAATTAATGCTGATAATTTGATTACATTTAGTGTCTTTAATTGTTCTTCCCACCTGAATTGGTATACCTGAAGGAAGAAAATGTATAATAATAATAAACGGATGGGAGAAAAACGAAGAAAACATTGAGTTTCAGGGAGGAAAACCTGCAACATGCATCGTTGTAGGTGGAATTTTGATGCGAAAGAATTTTGGTTAAATCAGCAAATACCAACTGCTGGTCATATAGATCTCTTCTTTGATGGATGAACGAATGAGTGAATTTATGATATGAAAGTTGAGGTCTTATTCTAGACGATCACAGCGGGACATGTAATTTAGTGCGTTCATTATGAGTGATTTAAAGGAGGAAGATCCTGTCAATTTAGTCTGCTGACATGAAAAGTATGCATATTTAGTAGCTATTTGAGGGCCAAGGCCAGAGGTGATCCGAATTTTATAGACTTTATTTGCTAGCGATTGGCCGAGATGCTGCAGGGATTTTTATTTTATTATGTAGCGTTTTGATACTGGACTCTGACTGCTGGTACTGGTGGATTCATGGAGATTAGCGATGAAATGAAGTTTCTGATTTCATAGTTGTAGAAATTGCTGATGAGATGTGTTTAAGATCGACCTGCACAGAAACAACACTTGCAAGAGCACAACAAATAACGAGTCCGATTACAATTATTTTCAAACTGCAGAATGAATTATCCCAGCATTCGGAGTTAAAAAGTCCGCAACATTTATAGGGGTATGCACCGTCTGGTGATGGGCCTCAAAAGAATTGATTAATTAACCTTATCAGTCTGTGTTTGACGTTATCATATTATAGCACACGCATTATTGGAGCGTGCTGAACTCTGACTAGCGTTCTTCCTAAGAAAATGATCTGGAATATGTCAATAAAAGTGAATAGAGCAATTTGATTGTTATTATTATTGTCTCGATGAATAAAACGACTAATCATGATGATAATATTGTTGAGAAGAAGATAATTATATCTGTTGCTGAACTCGAGAAAAAATTACTCGAGAAAAAACTCGAGAAACCTTATACATTACGTTTACAACACTTTATTAGGAATTTTAGCCATCTTTTGTATCATGTCTTACAAACAGAATAGTTCTTTGATATACACTGGTATTTGTTATTTGATAATTTCCAGTGAAATGCGACACCAAAAAATTGATCAGCTGAAGAGAATTTACAAAGCGTTTAATGGGAGATTTGAACTGATATGAAGGTTTGTTGTTGAGCAACAGCGCGTCATGCAACCAATAAATTCGCCATCAAATGGATCGGTAACTTTGTTTAATTCAACTTTGTCAGTCTGCCGTTCGTTTGTAGGTGAAATTGTGCTTAGGCTTCAAAATTTGAAAGATTTTTTCAAAATGTTCTACGAAGTTGTTTTCATCAGTATCTAAAAGACTTAACATTGCTTTTGTTTTGCATAAATGATTCATTTTCGTGTTTTTTCATTTTGTGATCATATTCATATTGTATACTCGAAGAAGTGATCATACTCGAAGAGAGGTGATCATATTCATATTGTGTTACTGATTCCATATGAGATTGAGAAACAAACTTTTTGTCATATAGTGCATGATAGAATTAGGACAAACTCTTGATGACGACAGCCGAAAAGGATATTTCGGGCCATCTGTCGGTTTTCGCTTTTCCAAGGTCTTTACCCGATCAACTTCTTTAGGTTTCTGAGCCCACCGACCCATAATGTAGGAACAAATAAATGTGTGAATGGATAATACTAATAAGAAGAACGAGAATGGAAGTAAATGAAAATGTTTGCACTCTCTGTGAAAGTCTATAAGTCTATATGCTTGAATTCAATTTTGAATAAATAGCAGCCCTAATTAGACGAACGAAATGTGAGGCAATAAAAAGGCACAAGTTGATTTCATGTATTAGATGGATATTTACGGACATAAATTTTCGTACTGTGAAAAGTTATACTGACAATGTCGTATATTATCATTGAAATGAATGCGACTGCTGAATAGTTTGGCATAAATCATTCAAAAATTTATGCATCAAATATAATTTTAAAAAATTCTCATCAGTGTATTTGAATTGCTCAATTTAATTACATGCACAGCAGCCATTACTGATAATAAGCATAACGTTTACGAACCAAATGCATGAAAGAGTTCAATATATTTTTGAGCGAAATGATAGTAGCAGTAGTAAACATGAATATGATAATAATGATAATTAATCTAATCATAATAATGAAGTGACCTCAGCGGAAAGCATTTGTACGTGGATACTGTGATCATAATATGAAAAAACTCAACAAAACCATTCAGTGGATACTGAGTGGTCTCTGCAATCGCTCAGAAGTGGAGCACTCGACTGGAAATTGGGACGTCACGGGTTTGAGTTTCGCTTGTGTGGAAAAGTTTTGCTTCAGACCGAATGGTGTATCAACATCATTGATGTAATCGCATAATGCTGTATTTTAAATTGAATATTTTTGGTTATTCGAAGATTTGAGCAGATCTCCGTCCACTCGACATCCAGAAATGATTCTTGAAGATTGAAAATGTTGGTTCGGAGTAAATCTGCCAAATGCATCAGATGCACTTCTTCGTGGGTGTTTAAGAGCAGAATTGTGTTGTTCAATCCGCCGAGGTAAGTGAACGATGAGGAGAATGTAAATGTTCATGAATTCGGCTCATGAATGACTGACTGCATTGATATTCATATTGAGACTGCGACTGATTATTAACTTACTGATTGTTCTTCTAATACGTATGTGTGTATTTGGTAGGAGATTTCAGTTTTGTTGGAAATTTGATTTGAGTATCTGTAAGGTGTTATAGTACTGTGACTTAAAGCTCACTGAACTAATATTCAGTCAAGGAGTTTTAGCGAAATCGTCGGTGGTATCAATGGAATCGATTTCTTATGATGATACACGTATTTTGCAAGAAATTGAACATTTCTGAAAGAAATATCAATTAATTGTGATTTGCCAGCCTTCACATCTTCAAATTCTCCTTCATGGAGGATACTTTCTCTATGAGAACCACTGTCGCATAGAATGGATGATGTATGTGTGACAGTTGAAACGAATTAGTGGAACATTATTGCTTGTGCTCATGATTTGTAAGATTAAGCGAATTTTTAGCCCGGGGCTAAATTGAATTGATGATGAATTGAAGAAAATTCACAGTAGCAGAGTTGTTGGGAATATCGTTAGCTTAAACTCTCACGCTTACATATGCCGCGCTTCTTCTTTGGAGATGTGAATTGTAGTAATATGAAATATAGTGGAGATCGTCAATTGCAGATTTGTTTGTTGGTAAGTTCAGATTATCGCATGGAAAATGCAGTGATTAGATGACTTACCACATTGGGATTATATGAGGTTTATTACTCTATCAGAATTCAATTTTGATTTATTTTAGCAACCTTGAGAGGCGCGAATTGCTTGCATTTTAGTACTTTAAGTTAAAGTTTGGACTGAGAAGATTGATATTGTTGGTGCTGATGTGATCATGACGATTCCGTTCGACAACAGTATAGGCATCTCGAAATGATGAAGCGATCGGTTGGAGAATAATTTAACAATTGATTCATCTTTAGATGCACATAATTGAATGAAAGTGAATTGCAATAGAAATGAAAAATTTGTTCGTTTACTTTCTTATTCTTTAAGAAAGGTCATTTTAAATTGCCTTGTGTTTTTTTTTTTGCGAATGACTCTCCTCATTTTAAAAGTCTTTCATTCACTGATACTGTCATACTGATAACAATAGTAATAATAATAATAATAATTATTATTATTATTATCATTATTAATGCTATTATTATTGTGGCTATCATTATTATTATTGTCATGATTATTATTACTATTATTATTATTATTATTAATAATATTATTATTATTATTATTATTATCACGAGAATACATATAAACACAACATGTTAAGCGCTGCATGCGTTGATGTGTTCATTTCAGAATCCACCGTACACCCGTTAGTCTTTTTGCATTTCGTTGCTCTTTATGTGATGAATAATAATAAATAGATTGATGAATTGAATGTGAGAAAAGAAATGGAATGTAAATTGTGTGTGATATAGACAAACAAACAAACAAGCAATCATTACGCATCACAAAAATTAATTTGATAACAGTTTATGGAAGAAGAGGTTAACAGCCAGTTATTTAGGTAACGTGAATGCATGACAATACAATAATGATAATAATAATAATGATAATAATAATGATAATAATAATGATAATAATAACAATAATAATAATAACAATACTAATAATAATAATGATAATAATAATAAAAATAATAATAACAATAATAATAATAACAATAATAATAACAGTAATAACAGTGCATGAAATTGATTTCCGGTATGTCTGGAACATCCTAAACTGCTTTTGTTTCCTCTTTCTCTTAATCGGTCTGTTGTGCATACTCACTGATCTATTGCATTACCTACTTGATGATTAAAATTCGATAAATGCAGCTTATCAACTATAATTTTGTCTAAATGAGCACAAATACATATGTCATTTGTTTAGATGTAGAAAATGAGAATAATTTGACGAATTCGTAAGATCTAACACGAATTTCCTCATGCACTGACTGCTGCATTCAAATACTCATTGTTATGTTTGTATTTTTTTTCGTTGTCAGAAACAAATTACATATAACACTTTTTCGTTTCACGGAACTAACTTTGTCATAATGATTTGTCATAATGATCACGGAAAATACTTCGTATTTTTTTTACTCCTCATATTGCACTGATCATGTCAAGGGTTGAATTTGTAATCTGTATTGCAAAGTAGTAATAATGACGATTTTATTGATGTAGTGACTTCGTATTTTTTTACTCCTCATATTGATCATGTCAAGGGTTTAGTTTGTCAGTAGTGATAGTATTTTGGAATGAGTAGATAAATTAACACGAGCATTAAATTCATTAAGTTTGTTGAGCTGCAGTGAATTGCTTATTTAGTTGTCCGCTTATTTGGCTATACTGTCGTCCGATTTCGTATTGAGGTTGATTGCTTCACCATACACCTACTTCATCACTTCATTTCGTCTTCCTCTTATCCACATCATTCCCAGCCGTATGATCCAATCATTCATCCATCCCTCGACGGATATCCTTATTTTTAGCTCATACTGCCTTGAGAATGCCTCCCTCTTCTAGCCTTTCTTCTTCATATTTCACTTCGATTCTCTGTCAGTTTCTTGAGATATCGCACCCCTCCCTGTCAAGCCTTCCTTCTCCTCCGTGTGCCTTCCGTTTGACAGTCGTCTTACTCTCATGGTTGTTCGAGGATGACCGCATTATTGATATAATACGATAAGCAAAAGATTTTAGTACTTCTTCCTTCCTCGACTTATACACTGCTAGATAAATGGCTGAATTTTTACATTTTTTTCGAATTTGTTTAGTTTGTTGTTCAAAAATTTCCATTGTTCCAATTTTTCACGTTCGTTTCTCCACTCTCCTACATAACATCGTTTTGTTCACATCACATCTTCAACTCCACTTCGATTCATTAAATTAACCAATATCACAACAGCAAATTCTCTTTTATGAACTAGTCTCCTCCCACAGACCTACCCACCGACCGTCATTCGTCCTCTGCCAACCATGATGAGATTATTATTGTATATATCCATCCCATTTATACTTGTAAATAAAACCACGCCCATACTCCAATAAATCTTCCACCTAACCCATCCATTCATCCATCCGTTTATCCATCTAACCTTCCTACCTTGAGGAAACGAGAAACGACGGGTTATGACAAGTGACTGTCATCGGGCTCTGCTTCTTTATTTGACTGACCTGTCGTCACTTAAACCAAAATTCATCCAGTCACTCGGCTGTCAGCAGCCAGCATCCATCCATTTATTCAACCAGAAGCTATCGTCTCCCTTTCCAAAATTGTTGTAAATCTTCCATTCCGTCTGAATATCTATTCCTTGTCCGATTCATCCGTTCCATCGCTCCTTCTTGAAACATCTACCCACCTGTCTTGCAGCATTTAAGATTCTTCGGTTTAACATCCGATAATGGCTTTGGTTCAGTTCATTCATTCAATCAAACATTCCTTCCATACTTCGATTGAGTTTCGTACTTCATTAAGATGGTGTCATTTTAGGAGCCTGAAAATTTTACTTAGCCAATTTCACGTCTGCATTTATCACAGATAAGAGTTATCAGTAATGGGATTATAAGTTGATTTTAGTAGAACATGTAATGTCATGTGATCTGCTCGTAGTTATGTCAGCAATAATCATTCAAGTTTTGTTATAGCACGGAACTATAGTAACAGTTGGGATAGATGCGCATTGCATTAATAGTATTATTTCGCGAGGAACGTAACATTTGAGAGAGCAGTTTTAGTTTGTGCTAAATGAGCTCATTTCCGATAAGAGTCTCGAGCAGCTCTTGATTAAATGATCTTGATATCCTGTCCGCTGATTACGAATGAAAACTTCGCATTCATTCCAGCCTATTTACGCGCTATTCTTCAGCAATTTTCTACTCGATTTTCAAGGCCATCGTCTACAGTAACCAAGCGATTGTTCCGTGACATACATTTCTGCAATCATCCTTTTCGAATTTCATCTTTTCTCGAGCATGTTTTCTTATCTTATCTACGTTTTGAAAGAGTCAATGTAGTCTAAACAACAATAATCGTGAACATCGAAGCTTGTTGCATCAAAATTTCATAGAAAAGACTGAAAGGTGAGCGTGTCAAATGTTTGCGATGACCAATGAAATCAATGCTGCAAAGTTGAAAGATGCTCTTCCAATTGTAAGATTAAATTCCACAAGAAGGCGGTAATCCATCTAGATCTAAGCTCTGAACGTCATCAATGATCGTTGTGATTTTAATGATAAATAGTAGCCGAATGTGATTTAGAGGCGCTAAGATAATTGACAATGAGTTACAGCTGGAGAACACTTAGAGCCTTCCGATCGCATTTCTATCATCTCGTCCTATCCAAGCTCGCGATCAAGACTCGTCAGCAACACCACCTTAAATCGTTAAGCGTAAGTTATAAGCTGAGCTCAATCAGCAGCCCATTCGCCTCCCGCACAGCACAGCACATATGCAATGCGGCGTTTGTGGCTCTTCAAAGCATTCGGCTCACTGCTAGTCGTATTGCCAAGCAATGTTCTGTGTGCGTATTTTTCACAGTTCTCGATGAAAGAACCTGATCATGATCCATGTTATGATTCGGCTGGTCGTCCGATCAGATGTATTCCTGATTTCATTAATGCGGCTTTCGGCAAACCGGTCATCGCATCCAACACTTGCGGTCAATCCGGCCCAAGCAGGTTCGATCCTTTCTTCATTTCAACTTAACTGTTTGTCTATCCTACTTTAAAATTTATCTGAACTCGCATATTCCATCCGCATGTCTTCATGATCTCATACTACTTTCATGTTTGTTCATTAATTTATTATTTATTTGTTTACTTATTTATATTTATTTTTTTATTTCTATTCATTTTGTTTTATTTTATTCCATTTATTTATTTATTTATTTATCCAGTTGTTGCCCGCATATTGACACATCAACTAGTTCATCAATGTTCATTTATTTCGTATCCGATTGAAATTTTAACGATACAACGAATAGATTGACTAATCATCCTTACAAATTCATTATGTGAGCCTTCTTCATTGAAATTGTTCAGCCGTAACTACCATGTAATATTTGATAAAAACGTGCAATCGAAATTCTATCATCCACAAGAGTTGTGCGATAAATATCTACGTACGTGGTTTTTTGCCTGGTAGATGAAAGTATTGAACGAAACAAAGCTTTTTCTCATCATGGGATTCATTTATTCGTTTTTTAAATAATCTGTGTATTTATCTATTTATTCATTTATTTCATTCTCATATTTATCAGTTTATTCTTGTATTCTATTCGTTTATTTCGTTCATCGATGTTTGTTTCGCCATTCTCTTTATTGTTTATGAAACTTTTGGAAATTTTCATTCTCATTTCCATTCCACTTTTCTTTTTCTAAAAGAATCGAAACAAATGGAATCAGTGAGGGAATATCGTATTCTTGTTGATTTCATTTCATTCCATTCGTTTCATACTTTCATCGGTATTTTTCTCGCAAGTCTTTAATCGTATTTGTGTATAATTTAATTTGATCTCTTCGTCAAAGAAACAGCAACTAAAATTTTTGCCCTCTTTTGAATTTTGTTTTTTTTTTAGTTTTTGATATTTTTAACTCCTTTATTGAGTTTCTATGAACAATATTTTCGACTTTTTTCTTTAAATTTTTTCACACCTCGCACCAGAATACGCTTACAAGCACATAAAAACAGCACCATAAAAACATAAAGCAAAAAATTTTCCCGTTGTTTCGATATCATTTCTGTATTTCCCGTACTGATGCTAAATATTCTCAACTGTATTCTTATCAACCTCTTTCATACGTCACAAAAACAATTACAAGCGAGTGAATACGATGCAATTTCCAAGATTCATTCCCTTCAACAATTTAATATCTTTTATGCAGTTCTAGCTTTTTTCAAATAAAGCTTTTTAAATTAACTGCTTGATGCAGTCTCTCTTTTTCTTTTTTTTTCAGTCATCAAACAAGGAGATTTTGTAGTGGTAGTCATCGATTGGTCTCAATATTGAAATTGAAATTTTATTGCTTTGATAGTAATGCTAGTGGTAATGATAATGCAAGTAACATAACCTTTCTATACAGCTTCAGATGATGGCTGAACACTGAAAACAATCGTATGTATTTTAAATGTATGTGTCATTATAATCTCACGGAATGCGTTCCTCACACGCACATACTCTATTGTTTCTTCGCAAAATTCAATTACCATATTCATTTGCCTTTCTGCAGTCGTCCATTCATTCACAGCAACATTCACTTCTCTTGCTTCTCACTCGTTGATCAACAAAAAATGGAATGGCAACAAATGAACTGCATCGAAAGAACTGAATAATTAAATGATTGAATGAGTAAATAATTGCTGGATTGGTGGTAACTATATAGATAAATAAATGAATTAGTTAATTCATGAATAAACTTTTCGTGTCAGGTGCAAGTATGTAAATGGATTTACACATTACTTTATACATCCTACCTAGTTTTAAGTAAAATGAAAGAGTAATATTCATGGGATGAATATTGAGATGAATTGTTTTCGTTCATTTGGTATCTACGAAAGAAAGTGTACATGATGGCGTAACTCGTCCAGACTTAAGGGAATTTACGATTTGCTTGCAGTATCAGAAGAATGCAAATAATACATTTAGTCTTATTTAGCAGGTCTCCTATTTATGTATCTATCGAACTATCTATCCATCCAGTCATTCAACCGTCCAACATTCCAAACATCCATCGCATGGTACAAGCATTGTTTAATAACTTACTTATATGTTGAGTCATGTTAAGTAATGAGGTATGTGCATGCGTCTTTACTAGGTTCTTCATTCTCAATAAGCCTTCTTAACAAATTTATTTATCGAGCATTCTAGCAGTAAGCATATAACATACTCCAATTCGTAATGAGTTTTATTAAGTGGATACGCAAAAAGGAAGAGGAAAAGCGCAACGAAAATGACACTAAACTCGATTAACTTAGTTGGTGTTGTTATTATTATTGGTGGTGGCGCTTGGGATAATGGCAGCACATTTGGTTATTGAACCAAAATTGATGAAAAGCACAGCGGAATGAGAACGAGAAGGATGGTTGGATGAATGATTATCATATAGGTGCGAGATATATGCCTTAATAAATAGGTAGATGAATAGATCCTACATAAGGATAGGGAGTCTGGCAGCTAGAATCAACATTTTGAAACTCTTGGAACAATGTATTTATTTAATCATCAACTGCAACTCAATACGAGTTTATGCCTGTTTCTTATCACCAATATCACACATGGAATTTCTAGGGAGAGGGAACTATTTGAAACTATGTGATAGATCAGAATAACTTTTGTTGGTAATAGCATTAGTGAGAAGAATGATGATGATTATTATTCTTTGTAAAATCAGAATCACAGTGTGCATTGGGTTTGAATAAAAAAGAGGGTTAAGTTGGTTCGTTAGATCATTTGAATTGATGCGTACGAGTAGCATAATTAATTGAAGCGTACATGTTGCAGTTAATAATAATGTTGCAATGTGCATCAATTAATAAGTATTGCAGAGTTGTTGTTTGAAAAGCGGTGCTACTTAGATACGTTCTGTGATATTATATATGATAGAGCGGAAGTCTTCATTTTTCGTTCGTTTGCAAACTTGATTTTTCCACTGAAGCAGGCGATTCATAGCTAAGAAAAGAGAATGCTAGAAGAAGGAGAGGAAAAGCCACAGATGCTCAGTATGAAAGGACTCGTGCTTACCATCGGGATCACAGTGCTGTTCGTTCAAGATATAATGGCCAATTAAGAAATTATTCAGAATGAATGCACACACATATACTTATATTGGCACTTTAATTCATATGCTTTTAAGTAATAAGAGTTCTTTCAGTTAATAATAATGTTGAGATTGTGCTATTCCAATTTATTAGCAGCAAGAGTATCGGCATCAACAGTAATAAATTTCAGTGCTTTCAACAGTAGAAATAATTTTTTTAAATAATGATAGCAGTTGTTACTGTTTCATTTTTTGAACTATCATTATTCTTATTATGAGGACGAGAAGTAATACTTAGACTGTAATTTCACGCCTCTCATACGATTTCAGGAAAGATGAGGTAATCTATTCAGGTGTTTTGTGGATAGTAATTCCAAGATTTACTTGTGATTATTCATTATTTAGGTGGTCGATCAGTTGGAAAGTAGTTAAACTTGTTAGAGTGTTAGGTGTAATCAAAGATAGAAACTGAAAGTGGTTTTGATAGAAATTGCAGTTTGAACAAGCAAATATTTTGTATCACTTAAAACTTTGTGAATCTGATGTAATCCAAAAGTTTTCGTATTTGTTGCCTAGTAAAATACTTTCGAAAATTATCCTTTCATTGTACATAAGTTGTGTATATATAGCATACTTATTAGCAGATATATTTGTATTTCATAAAATATGCAAAAAGAACTCCTATTTATAGTAGGAGTAGCTGACTGAAAAAGGTAAAAACAATATATCTGCTGGCATTTATGATCGATAATTGTTCTGTACTTCTGAGGAAATTTTATGAGTGGTCTAAAAGGTAGCAGCAGCAAGGGTAGCAAAATTGATAGCAACGAGCAACGGCCCGTTTGTCAGCGGTTTGAGATGGTTGCCTGCAACTTTAATGATCATATTAAGAAGCGTTAAAATGAGCGTAATACTGGTCATCGAACGGCATTTTGTTGCCAATTTCCGTCCGTTTCCTCAATCTATGTTGCGTACAATGTTGTGCACATTGTTCCACGGTCTGTAATTTGGTGGAATCGGATCCAAAAGATCGAGCACGAATTAAGGGAATCGATGATGCTTTTACGGTACACAGTTGAGAAAAATAAAGATTTGGTTGTCAGCATCCTCTTCGGAAATGAAGTGCACTCTTAGAAATGGACACAACCCGAACCAATATTCATGAGTTCTGTCCATTAATTGTAAGGAAAGAAACTGAAACGGTGAGTTTCAGTTCATCTTATATTCATGGCAAGTATCAGTTAGTCAGTTTTTAATGTTTTTGATTTAAATATATAGATAGCTCCTGGAATAATGCGAAACTTCGTATGTATAACCTAGGAAAGAAGGATGGAAGGTGAATGACAGGAAAATTTGTATTGATCGCCGTTATCCATTCTCAAAGGATAATCCTTATCCATTCGCTAGTATTTGTTAGGATTAAGAGTGAATTGGTCTGCGATCAACTTGGAAGATGATCGTGCGATCTGTAATCGAAACTAGGTTGTTGGCATTGTTGTGCGGATGAAAATGGAATTTGCGAAGATTATTAGACGAAGGGAAACGAAAATAGGTGGAATAAACAAAATAGTATTGATAAGTTGTTGAAGAATGAGAATAAGATAATTGAAGCGGGTAAATGTGGGTAGAATCATACCAAATAGATGATATGAGGAGAATCTTACGGGCGATATTGTCAAGTATGAGTAATCAACGTAGAGGAATAGTGTTATCATTGTCATGAGATTGCTCAGATCAGATTGGATTAGCAATGTATTGCACAGATATTGCTTCATTAATCTATGAATGCAATTGTAACTAATCTGATCAGAGAAAATGGCAACTTGTTCTTTGTTTTTGTTTGATGGCAAGTAGAGTGTGAAGGCACTCGAGAATGTTGTTCTCAATTGCATTTCACCGTGCACAAAATCAACCGTATATATTCCACAAAAAATTTCTATCCCTTTCTGCATTAGTTACATAATAAACAATAGAAATCAGCATTACCAATACCAAAAGTAACACTTGCACCAGTGGGTGAACTCGATGAAGAGTAAAATTTTGCGGTTTGAATAAAGTGTAAACTGCGGAAGTTCAGTGTTGCACTTATACCGTACGTATGTGTTCATATGACAAGTCCCATTGAAGATCAAAAATTGAATATTTTGCAGATCAAAATTGCAATTGAATATTTTGCTTTGATGTTCGTAGGATTTTAGGAAAATGAGAGAGACATTTCAGATTCTGCCACGTTCGTGAAGATGCATCTGGTGTGGTGAAAGAGGTTTGTGATATATGCGATGCGACTGATAATGCACGCTCACATCCAGCGTCATTATTGACCGATCTGAACAACTCACAAAATGTGACCTGTTGGATATCTGAGCCATCCACTGACTATCCGCACAATGTCACGTTGACGTTATCATTAGGCAAAAAATTCGAGCTCACTTACATCTCGATGCAGTTCTGCAATCGGTTAGCTGATTCAATGGCCATCTATAAATCAATGGATTTCGCCCGTACTTGGATACCGTTCCAGTTCTATTCGACACAGTGCAAGAAGATTTTTGGCAAAACACCGAACATTGAAATCAGTAAACATAACGAGCAGGTAAGTCGAAGTGGTCCTTACTTTATCATCCTCATCGTTATGACTGAATTGCTCAGCAGTCAATCGTTTTCATGATCTGATCGCATTCTCTAGTATGGATTTGTTCTGATCGCATTCTGTAAACGATTTCTGAAAGGGATTATCAGGAAGCACTTTGTACGGATGCGCATGCATTAACGCCGATGGCGAATCGTGTTGCATTCGCCACTCTTGAAGGACGACCGTCCTCGTTTGAATTCGAACAGTCACCGGTGCTGCAAGATTGGGTGACAGCCACAGATATTCGTATCATATTCACTAGATTAAGCCCTGATCAGGTTCGACCTTCTCTTTTTGTTTGATTTCTTTAATTCTAACAATCATCAAACAATCTATAATCTATGAATTATTCGTTCGTGTAAAAAAAGAATACTTCAGGCTGAACTGTACGGTCTTACGAATGATATTGGTGTAAACGTTACCGATTTGGATACCATCAAGCAACGATACTACTATTCAATGGGTGAATTGGCCGTCGGTGGACGATGCAAATGCAATGGGCATGCGTCAAGGTTTGGAAATATTTGATGATTTGTTCGTTTATTAACACTGATGATAGTAGTAACAATAATAGCAGGCAGTTATGATTGCAGATGTATGTTCGATAAAATGGGTAAATACACTTGCGATTGTAAGCATAATACGGCGGGTAGCGATTGTGAACGTTGCAAACCGTTTCATTTTGATCGGCCATGGGGACGTGCCACTTCCGAGAATGCGAATCCTTGTGTTGGTGAGTTGTTATCAGTTTCCGTTCGATTTTATTTAGATGAACAACAGTCTGTTGAAGAAAGTATTTGTACGTTTCGCGTTATATACGTTTTCAGTCAGTTGCAATCGATTTCAAAAACAGTACGATTAGATTGTACGCATCTTGCTTTTTTTGTTATATTGTTTATGTTGTGCACATCGAACCAATGTGCGGATTCATTTGTGGTTATTTGTGCATGAGTTCAGGTGAAGATATTTTCTGTATTAAGAGAAAATGGGGAGATGAATTGGTGGATGAATAAGAGCTATAATAAACGAATGTGAGATAGTAGATGAATAATAATAACGATAGTTTTAGGTGTAAATTTAATAAATGAATGAAGGATTAGATGGATTTGAATTGTTGTTATGAATAGAAGCGAATGAGAGAATTGATTCGATTGTATTGTAAAAACAGCGGGGGAAAGGGGCCAACTAACGGCTGGGTGGGTGCCGGTTGCCCGAGCGATCGGCCCTATAGAGAGAGGGAGAGAGAAGCAGGGAGACTGTCGGCCGCACTTTTAAGTACTGCCTTTTGAGACTAATAATAATTCGTCTTATTGTTCTTCGTATTTTTTTAATGAGCACTAATTTTTTGCGATGAGATGGAAGCATTAAATGAAGAATGTATTAGTTTTGCTTCTTTATTCATTCACTTGTTTGCGGCTTCACCATCAAAGATTTATTGTCATCTTAACGCTTAGGCTTAACAATAACGATAGTAATACTAATAATGGAAATAGTAATATTAATAAGAATACTAGCAATAACATTGATAATTATTACAATAATAAATTTTGTTTTAAAGTCATTGATGAGAATTAGTAAGTTTACGCTGATCTAGGTACAAAAACAGCCGGTTACAGTTCAGTTTAAGTTCAGTACTGCCTTAAAGAGCATTTGTTGCTTGCACTGACGAGAGAAAGCGAAAAGAGCAGTGGAAGAAATAGATAAGTAATATTAATAATTAGGTTAATCAAGCAGCCAATAGTAATGTATTGTTGAGTTTACTTATAGATCGAAATGAATGAAATGGTTGATAGCAAAAGAGAGATAAAATGATACAGGATAAAACAGAATAGCCGGCGTCTGAAAGCCAAAGGTTTAATATCGAATGGAGTGGGAGAAAATGAATGCATGAATGGATGTATGTATGAATAAGTATTTTGTGATGTTGCTATTGTTTTGTTAAGTGCGTGTTTATTAGTAGGATGCGATGGGGAGGGAACGGCAAGCAATACGAGGTCACGTAACGATTGCTTAGATTCGATTTCTTTCTTGTTCCTTTCCTTGAGAATATGACATTGATTTCGTGAAATATATAGTTGATTAATTTCACGAGATCTATCGTTGATAGTAATGGTGATGTGGTGCGCAGATAGATTTATGAATATGAATGGCTCGTGAAAATAGAATGAATTAAATGTTGGGTAAACTGGATGAATAAATAAACTTGAATAATTAACTGTTGTTAAGTGGAGAATTTGTTGAGTAGTTGAGTGAGTTGAACGGAATGAATGCAATGAATTGAAATGGAATTATTGTTGTTATTACAATAGTTAAGTTGATTTTAAATTTACGATTTGATGAATGGTGTTAACAATACATCGATTGATTTGATGGGAAAATAAAAAATAATTCAATGAGGGAACTGAAGAAAAGCTGAGTGAATGCATTAGTTGGGAGTATTTGTAGCATGCTTGTTGAATTATAAGTGGAAGTATTTCATGATATCACCTATTATTGATTGCTTCTTCGTTCTAAAATATTTTTTGGAGTGAAAAGTTTGAAGCAAAATTTTAGCCTTTAATATCGATGTGCGGAATCGTCATACGTCTTTCGTTATTCTGTGGTATTTAGTTATTTTTTTGTTCATTCGTTCTATTCATCTTGGTGCGGTAGTACGATGGTAAAAGAAAGATACGGAAAGGTTGCATGGATGGATGGATATATGGATACATGAAGTTTTTCGATGTCAGAGATATGTTCAGTAATAGTAGTAGTAATAGTGTTATTATAACTGATAGTAATTATAATAATTAATGTAATGATAGTGATAAAACAAGCTATGATACACTCAAATTGTACGAAATGAATGCAAAATTTATTGGAACATGCACACAGTTTCTTTATTTAGATGTAGTCTTACTGGATAATATTCTAGAGTGGAATAGGGGATGCGAAACAGTTATCGTGCTGTTATTTCGAATTCAATTCATTCACTGAAGAAAAATGTTACATAGTTGTCGAACAGTTCTGATATAGCATGCTATGTATCATATCAGCAAACACTCATGCTAGAGTGGGTGATGCTCTCATACTGTAACTAGTAGCATAATACTTGTTCTTCAGCGATTAAAATGACTCGTTCGCTTGATGATTACCGCTACGTCGACGAAGCATAAGATATCTTCAGGAAGTGTTATATAAGGCATTAGAATGTGTACGAAAAGCCTGATATAATCGAATTGTTGCTGCGTGAAGAACTCGTTCACGCAACGTGAAAAATTTTATTCAATAAGCACACAAATTCGCTATGCATTAAATAACAACAACAAGAAGAGTTTGATGCTTTACGAAACTTTGTGTATGTGTGAGTTTGTTATGATGTGGTCATTGATCAATCACCACGAACAAAAATCATCCATCCCTTCACTGTTAAATCATCCATCCATCCATCCAATCAATACTTTTTATGTATGTAATATTATTTTAAAGTTTTATCGATTCAAAAATCGAAACGTAAAAAAATAGGGCTTTTCTTTCGTATAAATTATCACAATTTCTAGTTTTTTCCTTACTGATGCGGACTTGAAACGTAAGAGATGGATAGATAATGTGCTTTTTTACCAGTTGCGTTTTTTGAATGAAGCAACATTTGCCAACATAAAATGAAGTGAAGAAAAAAGATTCCGTTTTGTGATGGTAATTCTTTTGGTTGAGGTTTTTTTGCGCTTTTCCATTCGCAAGAAGATAGAATTTGGGCCGGAAGCAATAAGGAGGAGGAGACTGACTGATAAATCAGTGTGGATGAATTGTGGCAATGTAATGATTGTTGAATTAAATTGAATTCCGTTGATTTATTATTTCGATGAGGTAAGGTGATAAGTGAATTTGAGGTAAACGATGAAATAATCAAGCATTTGAGGGAAATGGAGACATTTGAGAATACAAATAGGACAACTACACCATTTCAATTTATCAATCAATCTATCAGCAGTGGGTATTTTCAAAGAACTTTTCGATTTTGATCGATTGTATACGAGGAGGAGGATTATTTCGAAGGAAACAATAAATGAGATGGAATGAACGAAAAAGTAAAAAATTGAAAGAATTAACGACGAAAGGCAGCAGGAGGTAGTTGCAAGTGTTGATGAATAAGTACACGCGAGTGAGTAATTGTTTCAAGGTGATAGATATGTTTGATGATGGCTTGACAAATTATGCACATTCCGTTTGTTTTGATTTTATTCATTAAATGAACGAGTAAACTGTAAAGAGTGACGGTTTTGTTATTATTATTATCATTATTGTTGTTATCGTTGCTCCTTGTCGTCTATGAGAAGAAGTAGGAGAAATTGTGGTTGAGCGAGGGGGAAGGAGAAAGGGAAGAATTTGAGAGCATGACAGAATAACCTTTTCTCACATTTCAAGAAAAAAATCAGTTTTTAAACGATCTTTCTTACATACATGCATGAAAATCTCGTTTTTTTTTCTAACATACAATGAAAGTTTTGAAACTGATAGTATGAATTCAGGAAGATTCGAAATGAATTCGATTTTATATCAAAACTCATTGTAGCAGATGATTGTTGATTTTGATAGCTTGCGGCTGTTCAAGTGATTTTTTGGACGCTCCAACCCTTAGGTGACAAAGGAGCGTTTAACCGAAATGGTGGGAGTTGCGACAACAATTAGAAGTCTAGGCTTCGAATCTTAAACAGTCAATCAACATTCTGTTGATGGTGATAGAGGTGTTGCTGCTTATTCGGAGAGTAGACGTTCTTTGTTACTATTTGAATGGAGACTGCTCATTAGAGGGAAGGGGAACTACTAGGCTTTCATGCTGAAGCCGAATTTGAACAATAATAATTGCAAGAGTGAATGATAAATAATGATATTATTGAGGGCAATAATAATTATGATAATAATAAAGTAGAAGTGCAAAGCATTGTTTGTTTACTCAATTTGCATATGCTCATTTCTGTTGTCCTATTAATATTAACACCGACAGCACACCTAAACACTGTCGAGGCATACACGTGCAGTAATACTTATTCGTTCTTCAAAATATGTGAAAACCCCCTTTCCAATATTTTTTCTCCCGTTTTGTTATTTGTCATTCTCCCATCATTTCCCCGCAACCTTTCTTGAGCGTCCGATTTTCATAGGTGAACTTTTTTCGCTCAGCTTTTATGATTCAAGACTTTCTGAAATATCCTTTTAGGTTCTTTTTGCAATTTTTCTGTTAGTCGTTTCCAGCTTTTAAATGTTGAATGAATATAATTTAAGCAGTCCAGCAGAAATGAAATGAAGATATTTATTTCAGCTTGTAATTGTAATCTACATGCAAAGAAGTGCCGTTTCAACATGGAACTGTACAAGTTGAGCGGTAATAAAAGTGGTGGCGTTTGCATTAATTGTCGCCACAATACGGCCGGTCGCAACTGTCATTATTGTAAGCCGGGATTCTATCGAGATCACTCGAAACCAATCACACATCGAAAAGCATGTAAATGTAAGTTAGTTGATTGCTGTTGCCATCGTTGTTATTTATTTATTCGTCGATTCATTTCGTCGTTAATTATTGTTTGAGTTTTTATTCATTTATTTACCCATTCATTGATTCACAATAATACTTCTTGACTGAGGTTGCTTCAGAGATCTGATTTGAATGAAATTATCAACGAAATAGGTCGATATCCATACGAATTAAATAAGAGTATGACTGATACTAATATAATGTTCGCCAACATGTCATATGATTAAAAAGATACATTTAAATGGATGGAAATAATTTCGTTTATATTGTGTGAATGTAAATATGAACATAGCCAACAAGAAGAAGCATCATATAAAACGATTGTTTGAATTAATCGAATTTGCAGCTTTAATGAAATGATGATTAAATAGTAGAAGATTGCAAAATGACCACAAGTGGACTCTAAAATGACTATTAAATGAATATTATCCGTGAGGTTACTATTACTATTACCAACACAACTAAATCAAGTCCTATTGATGATACCAAAATTGCTCTTTTTCAACTGACCAAATTGCATTTTGTAACGGAATTAGGGGAAGAGAGTGAAACAAAGCTAACGTGCGATTAATTAGTTATTCATTTTCATTAATTAACGAATAATGAAATGGAATGAACTTGAAACGCAAATGATTGTTTAGCTAGTAGTAAGGATCGATGGAAGTGAATGTTTACATTATCCTTTCACTGCTTGCTGCTCTTGAAGCGATGTTCTGGGGACGAATTAATTTCTCGTTAACAGTAAAACTTAATTAACTTGTTGAAAAGAACATTTGATTAAGCTGCCTTGAGAAAATTCATAGCAGTAAGAAAGTACTGTGTATGTTCATTCAGTTAAGCTGTGTATGTTTTGTGCCTTCAGTGAATTGAATACTTATTCGTTTATCTTAGCTTAAATTATGTAGTACAAAATGGATAAGTATGATTTATCGTAGTATGCCACAATCCTAGTATGTTCCTCAAACATTGTGTTTTATGGGATCATCTAAGCTATCAGTATGGTATTAGTGATCAATTCAAAATGAAAAGCATTTTGAATTTGTGACTAATCATGAGTTTAAGACAGCTGATCTAATAATATTCGCTTGTGATGATAATAATTCTAATGAATGCTTCAATTAGTTTAATTATTCGGTTTTACTGATTTATCATACTATAAGTGATCATTAGAAAATTAATCTTGAATGCATCGCAGTAGATAATGATCAATTAAAATCGAATGTTCCACGAAAAAATCTGGAGTCAGTGATTAATAAATAGCTGAGTAATTATTTATTAATTCATTTATTCAGTCATACTCGGTGAGTAGTATGAATGAAATTGTTAGTAAAAGATACAGTAATAAAAAGTTGATCTTGACAACTTTCATTTTATATTGTTGTGTTCAGTGGAGATATTGATGATTGTTAGTGAATGCTGAAAGTGAGCATAATGTTGCGGTTGTTTCAAACGGGTATGTTTGTTAGAGCGGGTAGAATGAGTGCTCCTTAAAATATTAGATTTTTCATACGAGCAGTGCCATAAAATAGCTGTTCATTGCGAACTGAATGATGAATGAATAAATCTTGCTAATTTATTCATTCGTTTGTTTGTTTATTTATTTATTTTTATCCATTTATTTATTCTTCATTTATTTAGTTGTTTATTTATTTATTTGTTGATCGACTAATAATGGTGAAAAAGATATGATGATGATAGTGATTGATTTATCTCGTCCAATTCATCGCTTTCATTCTCGGAATTTAATTTCCGCTTTTTCACGCTTATCATAACCTCTCATCAAATATTTTAGGTGATTGCCAGCTTATTTTTCCTATTTTGTCAATCAATCAAGGCAAGCAGCATTCTCAAATAGCTCTCAACATCATATCCTTAAAGGCTGTTAGCAGAAGAGCATGATGATTAGTTGCTTTTAAGTTTTCAGATATCTCGCGAAATAATAGTAGATGCATATATGCAATAAAACTATTGCATGGTCAGGTGAATGAAGAGCTTAACAAAAAATTTTTATTCAACTGGATTGAATTTGCTCACTTCAGGTCACTACATTGATGAAATAAGTTTCATATCACAGCTTTATGGTGAACACTATAGACTAGATATTAATAGTATTAATAAAAGTAATGTCATCTAAATGTGTGTTCACTTGTTGCTCATTGACTGTTATGTGATAGCAGTTGATGAGTAGTGTAAATTTTATTGATGCGAATTTGATTACTGGGTGAGCAACAATAAATTACGATGTAAGCGCGATCAGATTTAATACGATGGGATTTAATTAGTGATCAGTGGGAAGTGAATGAAGGATGGTAGATGTGCAGCAGATGTATTGTATTATCAATGAAAAGTGAGGGACATTCATTGTTATTTGTTTTAATGCATACGAATAGATGTTAAGTTGGAAGGATACGTATAGATGATCATCGAATTCATAATCTGCTGTTAGTCATCTTCAGATGATGACGAATGTCTATCTTAGAAAATTGATAATTGACAATAAGATGAGCAATGATAGTTCATTCGAATGCTGATGATAATGACAATGATTACTATGTCTTTATGGATATGTGTGCGTGATTGCATCATCTGGTTGATGATATTATAATGAACACCAAAGGAGGCATCACATTTGATTTGATGACACTCTGATTGAGTTGAGGAAGAGACGAAAACGAACGAGATGCATTCATTTGCATAAGAATCAAAGATGCTCGTGTTTCGTTGTCTAACTAAGCAGCTAAATATTCATGATGCTATTATGTGATAATTCTGTGCTATAATGGTGATGATATCAGAATAAATTATTGGACGGCAATGAAATTTGATATTATACAGATATCATAAAAGAAGTTTGATATTATAATTTGATATTATACAGATATCATAAAATTGTTAGAAACTATCAAAACAATATTTTGCATAATTCAGAATATAGTGTCAGATATTTGTGATCCGTCGTACTTTCACATTTTACGATTTGTGAGAACTTTTCGGGTGATTTCTTATCGCACTTCCGCCTCATTGTGTTCGCAAAGTGTTGTATAATTTTAAATTGTTTTCTAAACAGTTAGCCTCTTTTAGCTATTATTTGATTTGGATGAAATTTACTGGGAATAATAGGTTGAGTAAATTATTTTGAAATTATCCTTCTTGTTCATTCTTCTTTGCTGTGCATTCTTATAGTGGCACATTACCAGTTAATGAAATTTGATTTTAACAAAACTTTCCACAGTGCTACCAGTTATTCGAGTAGTTGATTGTTATTATTGTTAGCAAATTTTGGATTACTTCAGGCCTAGCAAGAAAATTACAGGATTTTGGAAGGGTATTAGTGTGAAGGATACTGTATGCGGTAGTTAATGTGTAGTCTTTGCGGACTGAAATGAAATCCTAACTAAAATAAACCTTGTTAAAGAGGTGTTATGAGTGAGAGAGATATTATGGAGCATGCTGCTAGTTTCACCTTAAACACACAAGACAATAGCACCAGTAGAGACCAGATAACAATAAGACAAGTTTATAAACCATATCTATTAGTAGTTATCGAGTAGAAGTGTGATTGTAAGTAAATAATAGTGTATATGTGTAAACAAATAAATAATAACAATAGCAAGTGAGTGTTGAATAGTGAGATTGAATTGAGACAACTGTATACTATTAGCACAGTGAATGCAACTTGATGTAAATAAATAAATGTATAAGTAAAATTTTGAATGAGAAGATGAATTGTGCTTACCTAAGTAAAGATGAATTGTGAGAAAAAAAAAAGAGGGGGGGGGGGGGGGGGGGNGGGAGAACGGGAGAGCAGTTTAGAAATGGGATGATTTTGAGATAACATGAGAAAAGATTAAAGGACGGTGGTATGGTAGCATGAATTATTTCTTCTTGTTCCGTTTGGTCGAGATTGAATGATTTCAGATTGATGGTGATCATTTAGAAGATGAAGTGACATGATGCTTTAATGAACATCGATAGGATCGCAGCTTTTACTTCAGCTAGCTCTAGTGAACCGTTTTTTTTCATACAGGAAGGATGAAATTAAGAAAAAGTTTTTCAAGGGAAGGAAAGCTAGGTTGAGGTTGAGAATTTTTTGTTGTCAATTGGTTGAAGTCGACTTAATTTTGCTTTTTTTATCTGTTGAAGCAATTCGTTATTTTTTGAATTGTCCTTGAATAGTTGAAGAAATTATAGTTGTAACTGATCGTATATGTAACTTAAGCCGTAATTAGAAAATATTGTAGAAAAACGGCATTTGAAGATGAACAGAATGAGATAGATGGCAGATGTACTCGTATTTATTAGAATCGTTTTAAAAATGGTGATTAGTATTATGAGGTATTCATTTATCAGACAGTGTGTTGATTCGACTTGATTTAGCAGAACGTTGAATGTTTGATGAGGAGTCAAAGTAAGCGATTTAATCAAAATGAGAATGAAAGGATGGAAAGTTCGAAGCCTATAGGTTGCGCACATCGATATTGTTACGGTGTTGTTTAGCCAATTAGCAGAGAAAATCGGTTAAACAAAGGGTACCGAACGGTTTAGAATGCAGTTGACTTCTTCGTAGCAAAAGATGGTCAGCCATGAAATATGATATGTGTTTAATTGGACTAGGTATAGTTCCATTTATAGGTATTATTTGCATGTATTGCCATGTTTATTTACTCTTCTTCTGCAGGATTTCGTTTTATTCTAAGGAACAGATGTCATTATGTTTATGAATGAATCTATGATGAATGGTATCGTGTATATTCGGAAGTAATTCTACAATACTTCAGTACAAATTTTCGATTTGCTATCTGTTTTGTGTTTACTTTTGTGCAGTGATAACAAAGAGTACTAGAAGCAATAATAGTAATAATAACAATAACGGTAATAATCACAATAAAATAGTAATGATAGTGTGAATATAACAGATATAGTTGGATTGAATGAGATGGGAAGTGTGATGGACAATTATTGACAACAAGTGTTCTCTTAGGATACCATTTTATGTGCGATTAGTGTTTTATGAAATTGGGATGTGAAATCGAACCTTAAAAATAGTAGTGATAAGAGAGGTCGAATAACGACGCATATTATTGATAAGGTAAGATTTAAAGTGATGTAATTGCTTATAAGCTTGCTTGTAAAATTTGAGTATGAGTGTAAATAAATAAAGGCCAGTGAAACGCAGCCGTATAATGAATTTTGTTTGGGTTGATAGTTGTATAGAAGAGTGCATTTGAGAAGGAGCAGTCAGTTGTTGGAGAACAATTTGTTTCGAATAGACAAATTGCTCGAAGGCACAATGATAAATTACGACCTTTGAGCCAACACTACAACGAATAGATAAGAGGGTTGAATTTGTACGGTGCTAGCAAATATGCATTCATCTGTGATGTTAGCAACCACTAACCGCTCATCTTCAACAATTAATTTATTTTGAATCTGAATAGTAATAGTAATGTCCATTATTAAAACATTTATAACTGTATGATTACTATCAGTATTATTGTCTTGATGTCATAAGTAAGAAGCAAGAACAAAAAACATTCGAAGTTTGATAATATATTCTTACATTATGTTCTAAGAAATAAAAACAAGAAGATTAGGTGGAATGAATTCACAAAATGATTGATAGTAGCAGCGTCATTATCACCATTGTCCTTATCAGCGTTATTTTATTGGCTGAAAGTAGTAATACAACAAACTGATGATGACATAGATTTTCATTGTTCATTTCGGAGCATTTTTGATGATCAAATGGTGGATTGATTGAGCAGTTGATTCACCATAATTTGTTATTGTTAGTGGAAGGGGATTAGGAAATGCTTACGGGGATTTCAAAAGCTCATAATAAATAAAGTTTTGATGTTAGTTCGATGAACGAATATGTAGTGTGAATATGGCGTGTCTGATTGATTTATACGAAAAGATCAGAAAAGTATATTGTAATTGAGTTATGAATAGATAATCACCCGCTATTAACTTTTGCAGCATATCTGTTTTATTGATGGTTAATGAACTGAATGAGAAAGGAGAGCAGAACAGAATAGGATTTTAGTGGATTTAAGAAGTTGTAATTGTACAACAAACAATACGCATTTTTATTCATTAGACAACGAGAAGATGTGATTATGCTGATCTTATTGTGGGCATAATTACGCATCTTAGTGCTTTTATTATTAGTTTCATTACTGTACTCTTTGTTATTGATTTTGTTGTAGTGTTGCTGCTATTGCTGCCACAAATTGGTCATTCACTATTTTAAGTGAATAATTTACAGTTGAACATTATCGTCATGATAATGACGAGTCTCAATGGGGCACAGTTAGTGCAATAACATGAGAACCTTATTTCCTTATGAATAATTTTATTACGCAAAGGCACTAATAAATGCATATACGGATCAGTATAATAGATTCCAGCTGAGCGGAATGTATTCCATGAAGAGGTCACAAAAATTTTCTTAGGAGTTGCGAGAACATCAGAGGAGGTTATAATTCAACTACTTGTCGTTTTCATTGTTTTCGTTTCGGGAGAGAGGATTTCGTTCATCTCGCCGATATGAATCGAACCACATTCGAAACGGGGCGATGAATATTGAGTGAGTGAATGAAGTCAAATTCGAGTGGTTTTTTCAGCGTGTAATTGTCATCCAGTGGGCTCGCTATCTCGAAGCTGTAATCAAACGAGTGGTCAGTGTGTTTGCAAGAACGGTGTTACCGGCTTAACTTGCAATCGCTGTGCAAAAGGCTATCAGCAAAGTCGATCACCGCTCAACCCATGCATTCGTTCGTATCTTCATTTATCGTTCATTATTCTTTTTTTGTGGTTATTGTTGTTTTTATTATTATCACTGTCATGTTGTTATTATCATTATCTGTTGTATTTACCAGCATTTGAAAAGATCAAATCCAAAAATTTTTTTCGATCCATAGGCTTAAGTTAGTCATATGCGTATGCGGCTATATACGGATATCTGTAAAGTTTGTGCGTTATTTAGATGGTTTAATTGTTTTGTTGTGTAAAGCAACGGAGCAGAAACATTCATTCATAAATGTATTCACCATCATTAAATGAATTGACATTTATTTTTGGTAATTTATGCATTTAGATACAATAATTAATCATCAGTTTCATCATCATCATCAACATTAGTTCTGACGTATCTAAAATGTTGTATGCATATTCATTTGCATATGGTAAAAAATATGGACATATTAAAGTAGTAAAAAAATTCAAAACATTTCTGTTTGTGTAGTGGTAGTGAAAGTGATACTGATATCAATAATAATTATGGCAATGATAACGATAGTTAGAAGGATAACAAACACAGCTGAAAGTCATCTGAAGAATGGAAGAAATGTATAAAAAATCAAATCAACGAAAATGAAAAGAAATTTTCTTCTTGGATTGAATTAGAACAACGAAATTCGTATATATTTTCAGGGCTGCCAGCCGCGGGACCTCCACCAATTCCGAACGGTCAGTTTGTGAAAATTTTCATTCATTCATTCAGTTCAGCTTTTTTGTTTTATGTATTCATCGATTTTGCCGCACAATTTCATTGATTACTGCTGTCATCAGCAGTGGGTTCGATGATTTTATACTGTTCTGAATCGGATTTCTTTTTGCTGTGTCTAAGAATGTTTTCGATAAAATAGTCGCATAATCAGTGATTGTTCTCAAAAAGAATACATTCTTATTGTATCATTTCGATTGTTTTTACCATCACGCATTACCTCAGTGAATTCTGTTTTAGCCGTACGCCATATATTTGATTAAGCTGAATTGACATTTTTATGTCACATTGCGATTTTTAATGTAACGATCATGTTCATTTTCTCATTAGAGCTCGGAGTTTGCACTCAAAGCTAATGCCAAACGTTCTCAAAAAGATGTAATCGTCGCCTTTCAATCAGTTCATACCACCATCGCTATTTCTTACAAGAGTCCGCTACCGTGAATTTTATAAGGAAATCTGTTGGTTTCTTCAGAAGAATTATTTCAAACTTTTCCTTTTTTGCAGCTCCCACATGTCCAAAATGTCGTGTGATACCAAAACGTCTCAATCAAAAGAAATTCTGCCGTCGAGATTACGGTCAGTTGGCGTTATATCGATATATTTGAAATTTGTTCATTTCGATTTTCATTTAGATTATTACCTCCTCAATGTTTGTCATTCCATTTCTGTCCAATTGTATTCCGGTAAGTTTGAGAGAATGCGTTTATTTGTGCTACAAGAAAAGAAAATATTGTGATATCAGTAGTAAAGATGTTTAGAACTTCGATTTTTGACTCTATTGAGTATTCAACAACGGTGATGCGTTCAGTTCAAGTTTACGTTTAAACTGATGTCTTGCTTCAGAGATTCATTCGCGAGAAGTGTTAAACCAAAAATTGGAAGCAACAAAAACCTCAAATCTCTAAAGCTTCATTCAATTTTGTTGCGAGCGCTTTCAGTGAAATACATACGGTCTGATTAGAAAAAATAACCGCATTTTTGATGCTTGTCAGGCTGTGCTGCCTCTCTCTTTCTCTGTTGAGTGGAATTCTTTGTTGTGATTGGTTTTAAACACTGATCCAGTGACACTGATTCAGTCGGCTGCAATGCTTGTGTAGTTTCAGTTTAGGGAACGAATAAGCGTAACCTATAACATTTTTGTGTGAGGTGAAATTGCACTGCATCATTGAGAAGTATTACCACAAAACGATAGCATTAATGAAAAAGATACTGGTGTGGTGTGACGATAATGATAATGATAACGATAATGATGTTGGTACTCAGCAGTACGAAATAAATAATGCATCTGTTCAGTTCTAAAGATTTTGATTTGAAAAGGAAGATGAATATGTCATGCAACAATGATTCGAAGAGATGAATGAATAAATAAATTGGTAGGTGTATAAACGCATGAATAGATCAGTCGTTGATCAACTAGTAAAAGTGAGGGAAGTGGTAATAAGGATGGATTAGAAGGAAGCTAGAAAAGAAATTTGAAAGATAAGAGGAATGGATTCTTATGTAAACAACGAGTTCGAATGAATGAAAACAAAACGGAATGGATCCAATCGTACAACGATCAAAGACGATATTCAATTTGAATTTAATTTGATGAATAAAAATTTTCATCAACTCATTTCTCTGCAATGTTATTTTTGCTGTTGTTATGTGATCGAATAGAATCATTTGTATACGTTGGGATGCACGTAGGTTAAGGGACGGACGGATTATTTTAAAGACCACGAATTGTGTGGGATTTTTGGAAGCAACAGTTCTTTTTTGAACAGTAATATGTATCATAGTAAATATAATAAATAGGAATTTATGGATTTGTTTATGTTTAACATAGATGACAGTGTAATGCGGCGATCAGTTGGGTACGGAACAATTAATGTTTTTAAATTGTTTATATGATGAGAAGACATTTATTATTTTATTGTGTTCTTTTTTGTTGTTAGTATTATTGTTATTGTTCAGCAGCCGCCATTGTCATTGCTGAGCAAGTATACAAATGACTAAATTTGATGAATACGACTGGATCAGATAGAGCCTGGAATGAGATCAGTGTAAATCTATCTGATAACAATTTATCGCCTATTAGTCGAATTGTGAACCGTTAATGAAATAAAATATATGGGAGCAATTATTGCTATTGTTGTTTTTGTCGGTGAACAATAATAAAAACAGTAATAATAATAATAATAGCAATGATAACAGTAGTAATAATAATTGTAATAATAATAAAAATAATAGTACTTCTAGTAATGCATCCATTTTAATTTCAGCAATTGAAGTGCAAGTAATTGGACGTGAATTGGTGGATGGTTGGACAAAATACCGTTTATTAATTGAGAGTATTTTTAAACGCGAGAATGGAATTCGTTTGAGACATGGTGAGCAATCATTATGGATACCGAATAAGAATGTGATTTGCAAATGCCCGAAGATACGAATTGGGAAACGTTATTTGATGTTGGGTGAGTGCAATGTTTTTGTTTCGTTAATTACGTTCATTACTATCAGATAACATTGCTAAGATCATGATCATTTGTCGCTAGTATGAACGTTATCCAGTATCATTGTCATGGGCAATACGAAAGTGACATCTGAATAATGTGTGGTATCGATTGGTTGTATCTGAATTGAATCGTTTATTTGTTGACATATAAAGTAATCAGTTCATACTGATATTCTTTGTTAAGGTCGTGATGATACGAACGATATAAGTCGACCTGGAATTGTTTTGAATTCAAGAAGTGTTTTGATGGAATGGGATGAAGAATTGCTGGATAAAGTTACGCGATTTACACGTAAGCAAAAACGTGGACAGTGTCCGGCTAGAAGACGTTTTTGAATAGTGCTTGTTTTTTGCTTATGATGTGATGAATATTTTATTCATAATAATAACAATAACTATAATGATTATGGTTGTTGTTTTTGTCATTATGAGTACCAGTTTCATTCTCATTCTTACCAGTATCTTTTCCTGTCATTACTTTGATTATATTTCTTCCGAGCATATCACCAGTATGAAACGAGAATAATTTGTCTTCGTTATATCTACACATAATGAATAATCTACCCTTATGTAGCCAAAACAAATCAGTTCATATCAATTTATCACATCTTTTACCCTACACATTCATACTCACTGCGTATGTGAAGTAATATTTCATATACATGCTGATTAATGTGGAATAATTGAATGATGCCATATCATCTGCATATACGTATATTCTAATTCAAGATGAGTGAATGGTATTGTCGCGTTTGTGTTCGTGTTTGTGAATGTAAATTTCATTTTCCAACTTTCATGATGTTTATTTATAATGTTTTGTTACTGTTGATATCATATTTTGTCCCATATATCAATCGTTCATTGCGCTTTGGAACTGTTATTTTTTTTGGAATCGATTCCGTTGGTCTTCTGCTGTATAATATGATGTTGTGTTGTTATTGTATCATGTTGTGTTGTCACGTCGATCTGTCAGTTATAACTTCATCATAGGGAGGATACTATTTCCTTGATAATAAGATGGTCTGTTTTGTATACGAGCCTTTCTGGATGCTGCAATGAACATCCTTTTAAGCCTCCACTGAGCGAAAAATCTGTTTGTCGAAGTCAAAATTCCCTTTCCAAGTACAAACAGAATTGATCGTTCAAAATTTTCTGGTTGCCACATGAGGAGTTCTATTCTCCCTCACAAAGGTATATATCTAAGGCAGCTTATAGGCTACAAAGTAATATTGTTATGATTTTGCTAATAATACTACTTCCAACGCCAGTCATAGTCATCGCCAGCTGTGTTTAATTAATTTCTTATTTTTCTCACATTTTGCTTGATATTTGATATTATACTGATATGTTCATCTTATATATCTAGACAAATTTATTCCATCTTTTATTAGTTGTGTATCATCATTCATTTGTTATTAAGCTTATCACTTAATCCATTTAAGCATTACTTCTTTGAATTTTATTTACCGATCATTTCCTGAACGAAAGCAAAATGAGAGTTAAAGGTGGAACGAATACCTATAGAATTGATTGTCGAATCAGCTTTATGTGGAATCAGTATTATTATTGACATTCATCTGTATATTGCATTATTCACGCATATTTCAGGTTTTCATTCCTTGTATTCAACACATGCACAAACATTTAACCTACTGTCCTCCCACAAGAACAGCTGACAATAAATGAGCATAGGATATCTAGATGCGATTAGTGCTTAAAGGTAATTTATTTCGTTTGTACAAACTTCGGTTAGATTAGCTGTAGGTATGAAAGTAGCAGCATAAAACTGTATTAGCTGTTCTTGGATGAGGTCGGCCTGCCCTAATGAGTTAATAAGACTGTATTGAGGCAGACCGACATGCATGCTTCATGTAGTTTTATAAATTTGTGTTCAATATGTGTTTAATTCAGTGATCTTCATATGCCGAACTTAGTGTGTTATCCTATTCCAAACACTCATCAGTCAAGACACTGATATTCGTACAAACCGTTGAAATACATTTATATGTTACATATTCTTCCTCTTTGATCATCATTATTATTGCAATTGTTTTTGATATGATATGGTATAATTATGAGTAAATAAATAATAAATATCGAGATAAATACTTAATGCGAATATTGAAGTGCTCATAATGGTTTAGTTTCTCGTTGCTACACCGTCTAAAACTGTGTGCATTGCACAACTAGTGATGCCTCTATACCACCTTTTTGATAACTGTTCTATTCTATTGTTTTGGGCTCAAAAACGGCTCTGTTGTATTCTGTGCGTTCCTCGTTTACGAATTGTTCTGTTTCATTTCTTGGAATAGAACAGGGATAGAATAGTTTAACTGGAATAGAGACATCACCATGCAGAACACAATGCCTCGTTGGATTTATCCTGTTCATGGTACGTTGCTGATATATTATTATGGTCAACAAAAACGTCTCAGTGGGCTCACTCTGGTCGTCCGGGTTAACAAAAAGCGGCTCAATAACGGACGGACGTATGAAAAGAGGAAATAACAAATAAGTGGCCAATCGACGTGTTTATAAGTGGGCAAATTGGTTGGCCATACGGTAAAGAGAGCCGGTGAGCACAACCGATATTCTGGTTAATCACAAGGACTCAGAGAGGAAAAGGGGTTAGCAAAGAAGCCATCAGATTGGGGAACAACAACACCAATTGCGGTAGTTTTAGTGGATGGCATAGTAATTTGACAATGTGAATGATCTTAGAGAGGTGTTCGATTACGACGCTGAGGATGATGCTAATGAGCAGGTGGTGTTTTATTTCTGTGAAGAATTCATACTTGATTCGTTTCATATGAATAAGTTGTTTTGTTTTACGACTTATCAGATGGATGATTAATATCGACATATATCTATCGATATAATGATATTATTACGGTTATTATTATTATCACGATGGATCTTGCATAAATTTGCATATTATGAGATCTCCTTAATCCGCATATAAGCCGCGTATAATCCCATTATCTCACATAATAGCATAACGCAATCTCGTTTGGCACCTTGATGATGACGTTTGTTCTATTGTTGAATGAAACACTTAGCCAAGAAAAATGAATCAGATCCGTACTCGCACGGGTAAATCGTTTCGACCTTTTGAATGAGGGATGGACGAGAAAAGTAAAAGGAAGAGATCAGCATCATACCTTTTTTACATGCACGCAATCAACTATTATATGCATAGACAGGATATGGACTAGTAACTTTGACTTTTAGGGGTTTAAAAGGATTTATTCCATCGTTTAGGCAAACAATTTGCCTTGTTTCAGTTCTATTCATCAGCTTTTTTTGATTTGAGATGTTAATTTTCCTAATCTGTAACCTCCATCGACCACCTGACATCTGGTAATGGTACAACTAGGGTTTGCGAAATTCCAACGTTTTTTCAATCCCATTTTTGAATTCAATCGATCGGGATTTGATTCCGGAGTCGATTTTCAATGCCGCAATTGAACGACTTTTGAAATATTGATGCGTGACACGTTTAAACACATTTTTTGAACCAATATGATCATAATTAGTCAGAAAAGAATTTATTCAACTAAATATTCAACGAATACAACAAATTACTCAAATTCAAATCAACACAACAATTAATACTCGTATTACATTAATACTCGTATTACTCGCAACCTCACGAACTTACCCCCGCCTTCTGGAATGAGACCTATATCATT